AGGATGCTAGGTGCAGTGGCTCACACCTGTAATCCCAGCACTTTGGGAGACTGAGGTGGGCAGATCATGAGGTCAGGAGATCAAAACCAGCCTGGCCAACATGGTAAAACCCGTCTCTACTAAAAATACAAAAATTAGCCGGGTGTGGTGGTACGTGCCTATAATCCCAGCTACTTGGGAGGCTGAGGCAGGAGAATCACTTGAATCTGGGAGGTAGAGGTTGCAGTGAGCCAAGATCGTGTCACTGCACTCCAGCCTGGCAACACAGCAAGATTCTAACTAAAAAGAAAATACAATGTTGTAGGAGATGATGACAACCTCACTGTCACCAGGCAAGGTGACTTGACTTTTGATGGTGTCACCATCTTTACTAGCATACCCTTGGGGGGCATGAAAATAACTCTGTGTAGTGTTGAGACCTCTTTTCATCCTATTTCTCCTGGTCTGACATAGGAAGTTTCCTTGCCATAGAATTTACTGCAGGCTGAATTCTGCCATAGGACATCTGACTTCTGAAGATAGGCATTTTTTAAATTGATAATTTATTATAAAGTCCTTCAGGTGATGCAGTTTTCTTAAATAGTGTCCGTGGTGTTCCGAGGGAATAAGACTCCAGAGTAGCAGCAAGTTCCAGCCAACCTGTAACAATTTCTCTTTGAGACAAGGCCTGCTCTGTCGCCAAGGCTACCTTCATAGCCTCATACATAGCCTCAGCCTCCGGGCCTCAAAGCATGCCCTTGCCTCAGTCTCCCAAATAGCTGGGATAACAGGTGTGCACCACTACGCCCAGCTCAGCCATAACACAAGACAAGTCAGAGGGCTCCACTGCCCCTCATCTATGCCCTATTTTTACCAAAAACTGTTTTTAGTCATGGCAATCCCATTCAAAGAAGACTTTTTTTTTTTTTTTAAATACAGGGTCTCCCTGTGTCACCCAGGCTGGAGTGCAGTGATGTGACCTGAACTCACTGCAACCTTCACCTCCCAGGTTCAAGTGATTTTTCCACCTCAGCCTCCCGAGTAGCTGGGATTACAAGCATTCACCACTACATCAGGCTAAATTTTGTATTTTTAGTAGAGACCGGGTTTCACCATGTTAGCCAGGCTGGTCTTGAACTGCTGACCTCAAGTGATCCACCTTGGCGTTCAAAAGTGCTGGGATTACAGGAATGAGCCACCGAGCTCGACTGAAGAAGACTATTTAGGATATGTTTTCATGCTAAAGCCGAGTGGTTGGAGGAAGCTGACCCTTTTCTGCTGACCTTTTGAGAAAGGACTTGACCTCCTGCAGCATAAGGGGCGTGACTCTTTGGAAACGCATGGGCTGCTCCATGATGGTGTGGTTTCTCATCAGAAAGCAATCGGCATGCACAATCAGAGCACCCACAAAATAGGAGGTTGTGAGGAGGAAGACAGCCAAGAGGGCTGACCAGATGACTGGCATCCACGAGACGGATATCAGGTGCATGAGCTTCCCTGCTGCCAGTGTGAGGGCGACCAAGGCCAGGACTTGGAAGAGGAAGTTGAGATTTTGTTCCAGGTCAACACGCTTCTCTGAGAGTTCCCAGCGGGCGCAGTCACCCATCATGGAGAAAGGCATTCCGTAGAAATAGTCAAAGCCGTGGTGGAGGGGGTGGTGGCAATGATCGCTGGCTGACTCACAGTTGAGACCCAGATGCCATTTTCCTGAGAGGCAAAAAGGATGTTGATGTGACAAGCGTCCGAGCATAACTGGGCATGTAGATATTGACTGTCTGTCACATTTTTGATACTCTGTTAGACACTGGGGGGCCGGGAGATTGCAGAGAGGTGCGGGTAGCATTAGCTGTTATTTGCAACGCAATCTGGCCTCATCGTTTCAGAGAAATGAGGACCCCTTGTGGCAGCTTTAGCCAAAATATTAGTTACCTCGAAGGTGGAACAAATTACTGTAAAACTGGTTGCTCAACACAACAGAAATGTATCCTCTCCCAGTCCTAGAGACCAGGAGTCTGAGATCAAAGTGTCTCTGGGCCAGACTCAAATCGGAGGCTCTAGTGGAGGCTCCCTCCAGCCTCTCCCAGCTCCTGAGGGCTCCAGGCATCACTGCACTTGGGGCCTCCATGTTTCTGTGGCATTGTCCTCTTGTGTGTGTCTGTGACCTAATCTCCTGTCTTATAAAGACAGCAGTCCTTGCAGGAGGGCCCACCACAGAGGCTGCATCTTTACTTGATTATATCTGCAGTGACTTTGTTGTCAGCTGAATCCTGGCCTGCCTCTAATTCATGGGTTGAAGCTCTAACCCCTGGGACCTCAGAACATGACTGTATTTGGAGACAGGGTGTTCAAAGAGATAATTAAGGTAAAATGATGTCATTAGTTTGGGCCCTGATATGGTGTGGCTGTGTCCCCACCCACATCTCACCTTGAATTGTAATAATCCTCATGTGTGAAGGGCAGGGCCAGGTGGAGATAATTGAATCATGGGAGTGGTTTCCCTCATGCTGTTGTCATGGTAGTGAATACGTCTCACAAGATCTGATGGTTTTAGAAATGGGAGTTCCCCTGCACAAGCTCTCTTGCCCGCTGCCATGTAAGACATGACTTTGCTTCTCCTTTGCCTTTCACCATGATTGTGAGCCCTCCCCAGCCATGTGAAACTGTGAGTCCATTAAACCTCTTTTCTTTATAATTACCCAGTCTTGAGTATGTCTTTATTAGCAGCCTGAGAACAGACTAATACAGAGCCTAATCTGATAGAATTTGTGTCCTATAAGAAGAGGATATTAGAACACAGACATATACATACTCTCTCCAGAGGCTCTAGGGGAGGATCCTTCCTGCCTCTCCCAGCTCCTGGGGGCTCCAGGCATCCCTTGGCTTGTGGCCACATCACTCCAATTACAACTGCTTTCTCCTCTCTGTGGCCCAATCTTCCTCTACCTTCATCTTAAACGAAGCCTTGTCCCTGAACAGTGGGCCCAGCTGTATAACTCAGGATCATCTTCTCACCTCAAGATTGTTAACTTAATCACATTTACAAGGAGCCTTTTTGGCATATAAGCTAATATTTGCTAGATTCAGAGGTTAGGGGCTGACATCTCTGGGGACCATTACTTAGTCTACTGCACCTTGTTTTACAGGGCAATGATGAAAGCCAGAAAGCACCATGTGATACCATCAGCATGGGCAAAAGACTTCTCGACTTTGGAATCATTCTCTCTTTGATAAGCCACTATGACAGTGGCCATGGTTGAAGTGAACGGTGGGTTTCGCAATGCATACCTTTCAAAGTCGGTCAAAGGAATATAGCCTTTGCTTCTATGGGGTCACCACTACGGTGTTGACAAAGAGATGTGTGTGTCTTCTTACCACCCCAATTCTATCTGCCACATGGAAAACCTCATGATTTCCCAATGAATAACCCATAAGGATAGATTCTTCTGTCTTAGAAAAGTTATAGTTGGCCAGGCATGGTGGCTTGCAACTATAATCCCAGCACTTTGGGAAGCTAAAGTGGTAGGATTGCTTGAGCCCAAGAGTTTGAGACCAGCCTGGGTAGCATGGGAAGACCCTGTCTCTACAAAAAAGAAAAATAGAAAACATTAACCGGGCATGGTGGTGCAAGCCTGTAGCAACAGCTCCTTGGGAGACTAAGGTGGGAGGATCACTTGAGCCTGCGAGGTCGAGGCTGCAGTGAGCTGTGATTGTACCATTGCCCTCCAGCCTGAGTCACAGAACGAGACCCTGCCTCAAAAAAACAAAGTCTATTGGAAGAAATACACCTTCGTTTGACACCGATGACTGAATCTCCCCAGAAATTTTATTTTTGGTAAAAAATTAAACAAAAAACATTTTATGATTTTTAACTTTTAGAAATATATAATTTATGGGATTTTATATTCATTGTATCCACTAGTCATATTGTTTGTTATCAATAAATGGAACTATTGATAAAAATCATTACTATAACACATAACGATAATGGTAACTTGGTCTCCTTTCAAGGAACTATTGTCATTAATTTTATTTTTCATCCAATACATGACATGCTTTGTTAACTTGTAGAAAAATAAGCATGTTGGTTACAGAAGCCGACAGGGAGGTAGTAAATCTTGTAAAGACATTTTCATACACACCGAAGGGAAGAATAGGCAGCATTACACAAATTTTTGATAAAATAATATATTGTTTCTTACTTTTTATCATGGTCTACCAGAACATTGTGTGAAATGCCAAATATTTCATTAGGTTTATGTTCCTTTTCTTTCTTTGTTTTCTTTTTTTCCCTTTTTTTTTGGTAGAGTCAGGGTTTCGCCATGCTGCCCAGGCTGATCTCAAACTCCCAGCCTCAAGCAATTCACCCACTTCGGTTTCCCAAAGTGCTGGGTTGGAAATGACAGGCGTGAGCCACCGTGCCTGACTGGGGTTCTTTTGGTAAGGGCACTAGTCCTACACTTGAGGCTCCACTTTTGAAACCTCATCACCTCCCAAAGGCTCACCTCCTAACACCATCACCTGGGGGGGTAAGAGTTTCGACACAGGAATTTGCAGAGGGGACAAAACATTTAGATCGCAGCACTAAACCAGCCAAGTTGATCCATAAACCAACCGTAACAGAGCTGAAGGTGTTCAGTCTGAGACATTAATGTCTAAGGCAAAAATTCCATGTGAAGGGTGGGAGAGGATCCCACAGAACAAAGTGGCTACGTGTTGTGCAGTGGAGCTTGGAACGTATGCCATAGGCATGAGCACATTTTACTTATTTTTAAATTTATTATTTTTTTTTTTTTGGTAGAAGTGGGGCCTTGTTATGTTGCCCAGGCTGGTTTCAAACTCATGGGCGCAAGCAGTCCGTCCACCTTGGCGTTCAAAGTGCTGGGGTTATAGGCATGAGCCACCTTGCCTGATCTGATATTTCTGGAGTACCTATTTTGCAGTAAACCACCTGGAAAGTAACATTGTTCCTAGGTATATGCAGCTTTCTGTCTAGTGGAAAATCCCACAGCACCTCATCCATTTTCCTTTCCTAAGTTTTTAGCTGAATGTCCTTTCCATATAAAGATCATGCGCTTACCACTTTTAAAAACACACATACCTATGAGTCCAGTAGCATAGCCTTTCTCTTTCAATATTTTTGCAAAAGTTGTCTCATTTGTCGGAAGACCTCCAGATGCTCCAGTCCACTGAAGAACACGGTGACCAATGCTGGAAACCATACCTTTGAGCAATTATTAGGAAAAAGAATTACTGTGATACATTTGTTTTCTGTTTGTTATTTATTATTATTTAAAAATAGAATGCTTGGTAAAAATCTCTCTTACTTAAAATTGAATTGAAAATGGAATTCCTACATGACTTTGCCTTGGGAATTGCAGTTTCGGCAGCAAAGTCAATGATTAATTTATTGAAAAAATTACTAAGAAGATGTATTTTCCTATTACATGCAGGTTATAAGGAATATAATTCAGTGAAAATAAATAAAAATTAAAAATTATTTTTTGCTTGTTAGTTTACTTAGAGATGGGGTCTTGTTCTGTCATCCAGGCTGGAATGCAGGGGTGTAATCAATGCTCGCTGCAGCCTCAACCACCTGGGCTCAAACAATCCTCCCGCCTCAGCTACCTGAGTAGCTGGAACTATAGGTGTGCACCACCACACCTGTCTAATTTTTAAATTTTTTGCAGAGATGGGGTCTCACTCTCACCCAGGCTTGAGTGCAGCGGCCTGATTATATCTCACTGCAGCCTTGAACTCCGGGCTCAAGTGATCCTCCCACCTCAGCCTCCCAAGTAGCTGGGACTATAGGTGTACACCACTGTGCCTAGCTAATATTTTTAAATTTTTGGTACAGACGGGGTCTCACTATGTTGCCCAGGCTGGTCTTAGACTCAAGTAAATCCTCCCACCTCAGGCTCCTAAAATGTTGGGATTACCGACATGAGCCATTGTGCCTGGCCCAGAAATGATTTTATAATTTCATCAAACTTTTGATATAATCCAGAGGTTCTCAAACTTGTCTGCCCATTGGAATCATGTGGGAAGCTTCAAAAAATTCTGATGCCTGGTTATCACCCCAGGGGTGCTAATTGTATTGGTCTTGGCTAGAACTTGGGCTTTGGGATGGTGGGAAGATCCTCTGGAAGATTCTAATGTACTGACAAGGTTGGTAGCCACTGACAAAATTTATTCTCCTTTCCAGACATTCCAAATCTCTACCCAAGGGTTGGTTGGTTTGTTTTTTATCTGTTTGTTTTGAGACGGAGTCTCGCTCTGTTATCCAGCCTGGAGTGCAGTGGTATGATCTCAGCTCACTGCAACCTCCGCCTCCCATATTCAAGCAATCACCCTGCCTCAGCCTCCCAGGTAGCTGGGATTACAGGCACTCACCATCACGCACAGCTAATTTTTATATTTTTAGTAGAGATGGGGTTTCCCCATATTGGCCAGGCTGGTCTCAAACTCCTAACCTCAAGTGATCTGCCTGCCTTGGCCTCCCAAAGTGCTGGGATTATAGGCATGAGCCATCATGACCAGCCTCTACCCAAGTGCTTTAAAATGTAGGTGTTATGCAGTATTATTATTATTAAGGTTTTATCATTATTCAGCTCTGACAAGGCCAACAGATCAGGAGATGCCTGTCGTTGGAGAGCTAGTTCATTAGTCACAGTTCCTGATAGTTTATTACTCACAGTTCAACAGGAGGCTGGGGTGAGCCATGCTATGTGATGATATGGGGAAGCTCCAGGGTTGGTCAGGAGGCAGAGGGAGTGAGGGGAAAGTATGAAAAAAAAGCCCTTTCTTATCCATTTCTTTTTTTCTATTTTGGGAAATAATGGGCAAGGTGGGGTAAGCCGGCTTAAGACTGGCCAGTTTGTATAATTTCCATGGGCTTTGGTCTGCAGGGGCTGTCCCTAGAAAGCTGGTCATTGATTCTGGGGGCATTAGGGCAAATAGTGAGTGGCCCCACATATGAAAATCTTCTAAAGGTGATGGTTGGGGGTGTGGGCTCTGGACTGATTGGTTTATCTATGAAAGTTACACTCCCAGGTGACATGCTTGTTATCTCTAAGAATTGGCTAGCATTGGGAGGGCCAGTCCCGCCAAGGTTAGCAAAGCCCTGACATGTCAAAGCATCAGAATAGAAACCTGCCTGGGCACGGTGGCTCACGCCAGTGATCCCAGCACTCTGGGAGGTCAAGAAGAGAGGATCTTTTGAGCCTAGCATTTCAAGACCACAATGGGCAAGATGGAGACAGCCCTCTTATCTCTAAATCAAAAAAATATATTAAAAAATCCGAATTTAAAAACTAAAAACTGTGATTTATGCACCAGGCTGGACCCTAGTGCAGCTGTGAAGAGAGACTAACCTGATCGAACAGGGTACCTGCCCGTGAGGAAGGCTGCTCTGCTCGGGGTACACAAAGACGCGGCAGAGACGTGCTGGGTCAGCTTCACGCCGAACTCTGCAAGGTGGTCGATATTTGGAGTCCTATGGAGGGACAAATTAACACCTTTACTTGTTAAAATTAGACAGGTTTTTCATAAGCATAGCTACATGCTTCTTCACAGAAGGTCCGCTGGTCACACTGAGTGCTTCAAAATGTTCTTAGGAATGACCCAAAGACAATGTCAAGGATTTCTAATGTCTTCTGAACCTTCAGAGAAACATCAACTCATTTAAATAGGAGAGCCTGGGCGTGGTGGCTCATGCCTGTAATCCCAGCCCTTTGGAAGGCCAAGATGGGAGGATTGTTTGGGGCCAAGAGTTCAAGACCAGCCTGGCACACATGGCAAGACCCTGTCTCTACAAAAAAAAAAAAGCTTACAAAAATAGCAACATTAAGGCATGGTGGTGCAGGTCTGTAGAACCAGCTACTCAGGAGGCTGAGGAAGGAGGATTGCTTGACCTCAGGAGTTCAAGGCTGCAGTGAGCTGTGATTACAACACTGTACTTCAGCCTGGGTGATAGATAAAGCCCTGTCTCTAAAATAAATAAATGAATGAGTAAATAAATATAGTGACTAAGTTTCCACAAGGCACTGTTGGTACTGAGAGAACAACCTCAGGAAATGCAGAACTGAGCCCAGGGCACCTTCTGCAGGACTCACAGTGTTCATGGGAAGGTTTGACTTCATGGACACCAACACACTGTAGGTGCTACATGAGAGTGGAAGGCTGGGATTCGGACAGGAGGATGGACTAGCTCTAGCTCATGACAGATGGGCACACCATATTTTGGCATTAGGAGGGTGTGGACTTGTCTGCCTGAAGCAGAGCTTCTCGGCAGGGGAGCACTGAAATCCCGCATAAGTGCTGGGCTTGGCTAGATGGACAGGATAGGAGTGAGATGGAGATCAATACTGGCGTTCTGCTTACAGGCAATGGCACTGATTTCTTCTGTTTGTTTGTTTGTTTGTATTTTGAGACTGAGTCTTACTCTGTCACCCAGGCTGGAGTGCAGTGGTGCTATCTGAGGCTCACTGCAACCTCCGCCTCCCGGGGTCAAGCGATTCTCCTGCCTCAGCCTCCCAAGTAGCTGGGATTCCAGGTACCCTCATCACATTCAGCTAATTTTTGTATTTTTAGTAGAGACAGGGTTTCACTATGTTGGCTAGGCTGGTCTCCAACTCCTGAACTCCAAGTGATCCGCCTGCCTTGGCCTCCCAAAATTCTGGGATTACAGGTGTGAGTCACCATGCCCGGCCTGTTTGCTTTTTGAAACAGGGTCTCATTCTGTTGCCCAGAGTGTAGTGGCCTGATCACTGCTCATTGCAACCTCAAACTCCTGGGCTCAAGCAATCCTTCCGCACCTCACCCTTTTGAAGAACTAGGATTACAGGTGCATGCCACCATGCCTGGCTAATTTGTTTTGAATTTAAAAATTAATGTTTCCATTTTGTAGAGACAGGATTTCACTATGTTGCCCAGGCTGGTCTTGAACTCCTGGACTTAAGTGATCCTCCTGCCTCAGCCTCCCAAAGGGCTGGGATTACAGGCATGAGCCACCATACCTGACTGATAGCAGAGATTTCTAAAGCATTGTCCATCATGTACTGGGTGGATAAAAATCATATTTAAAAAATGAAATTAGGCCGCGTACAGTAGCTCACACCTGTAATCCCAGCACTTTGGGAGGCTGAAGCGAGTGGATCACTTGAGGCCAGGAGTTCGAGATGAGCCTGGCCAACATGGTGAAACCCTGTCTCTACCAAAAATATAAAAATTAACCAGGTATAGTGGTGGGCAGCTGTAATTCCAGCTACTCAGGAGGCTGAGGCAGGAGAATCTCTGAAATCCGGGAAGTGGAGGTTGCAGCGAGCCAAGATCACATCACTGCACTCCAGCCTGGGCAAGAGTGAGACTGTCTC